AAGCACACTGCATTCAAAATAACAGGGCAGTATTTTTGCTTTGGGCTTCATAAAACTGTTAAGAAGTCATACTCAGGATCATTCAACTCATTTGACAGTTTAACTGCACAATTACACAAGCTCCATTTTTGATTACAGGAGCAGAAAGTCACCAATAAAACACTTTAGAGCTTGAGAAGAAAAATCAACTTTTGCAGATGTAAAGAGTTTCACTTTATTGAATTCTGGACAAGTTTATAAGGATGTTAGCTTTATAGCTTTTTTTTTTTTAATAAATCTTTTTAATTTACCAAGAGGGCTTGTTTGGATAGGTTATCTGGCTTCCAGAGATTTAACTTGGGAACTAGCTATCAGCAAAAGTACCTCACCCTCTGAGCATAAAATGTCACACATGGGGGAAAAAAAAGACTAACACATGATTGCAGCATACTTTCAAGCATGTAACAGAATTAGAGCAGCTGGGTGGGAGCACCAGCGACGTGAGGTTTCTGTGGTTTGGGATCACTTCTTCTCTGAGAACGTCAGCACAGTGTGAACATGTTAAAGGGATTGCTGTTCTGTGCGTGGCGTCTCTGGAACACTTTTTATATCAGTTACACATAAAAATAACTTGATCTTCTTAGCAATACTGAGCTCCTACTCAAGAGGCTGAGAAGGTTGAAACTACTCATAAACTGACTCTGTCAAGCCTGTGGCTTATGATCTGGGTTTGATTAATTAAATCCAGCTGTACTGGGTGAGAGAAGGGGAGTGAGTGGTATCGCTAAATAAGAGTTCATGCAGCAATGTTGAGTTAAAGCATCCAGCTCATCCAGCAAGCATGTCTGCAATGGTGAACCCTTTTTCTTACAGCAGATTTGATACGCTCACCATTTTCTAGGTTTAAAAAGAGCACAGATGAAGACAGTTTTTTGTATTGAACCCTAGCAACTAGGAATCATTAGGTTTTCCCCCCTTACATTTTTTTTTTTTTTTTAAATAAAGTTTTGGGGGTTTTTTTGTTTTGTTTAATCATCCGTGCCTCTTTGGTTCTCATGCACTAAAAAGTTATTGGACAATAACAACAAAAAAACAGAAGGATAGATTACCAACTAAATGCTCTGTTCAAACAAGACAAACATGCAAAGGGTACTACAGCTCGCTTCTAAAATAAACAAAAACTACATCCAGCAAAAAATACTGGGTATAGCTAGCATAACACATGTGTGCTACAACTATGCAGTCACATGAAAGCAGGGCCAATCCTCACTAAATACAGCAAAGTATTTTTTGTCAGAAATGTTGATCAATAGTAGGACCAAGGGCCGAAGCATAAGTGCGAAAAACTGCCGTTCCTTAAATGACCAAAAGTCAATCCACACAGACTCTCTTCACTGCACCCTGCACAGTTAATGAATACAGCTTGCTAACCACGACTGCTAGAGATAGCTGATAGCTTAGCAACCTTTCATCCATATATAGTAACGTCTATGCGCTACAACAGCTAAAATGCTAACATTGACGCTTCAAAATGTAGAATCCAAAACCTCAGGCACAGTGGCTTTGTGCATTGAAGAAAAAAAAAAAACAAAAAAACAACATGGACAAAGTACCTACAATGCATGAGATTAACTTTCCCATCTCTACAGCATAAATAACCAGCCTGCTGCTTTTAGGTTCCATAGGTTATTACTCCTTTCATAAGGGTGAACTTGTTTTAATAACTTCATCCATTTACATTGTATCCATTTACACATTTTACAGTAGTGACTGCTTTAACTGACAGAAAGGCTGTAGGTTGTAATGCCCGCTGGTTGTTCTAACAGACCATGCAAAAATACTCCTTTGATGGTAGAAATTCTAGCATTTTATTTGCATGCTATCGGGCTTAAATTAGAAGTTATCTGAATCACCTGATAAATTGACACTCTACACACTCTCGAACACTTCTAACTAAACAAAACCAAGACGGTGACAGGTGTAGTGTAAAAACTGGGGCTTCAAAACACAACCACAAAACAGCAAGTGATTTCATGTATGCAAGTCCACGGAAGAAGAAAAACAAAGTGTGCTTTAGGTCAGCGTAAGGTGTTTTACTGAAGCTTTTTCCACATCCCAACATCACAGAACATCACAGCTCAGAGGAAACGCTTTTATTCCACGTAGCTCTTCACAAACACCTCTTTCTGGGCAAGGCGAGCAAACTGAGGTGTGAGCGGGGAGTTAACGAGCATCAGTGGTTTCAGTGACGTTTTTTTTGCACGTCTGATATAAAAAGCAAAGAACAGCTTTTCGGTATCGTTTCTGTGGCATTAGAAAAAAAAGAAAAAAAAATGCACCACTGAGCCGAGTAGGATACGCTACTGTAAAAACCTCCAGTGCCAAAGCTCCCAGATCAGTTTTAAGCTACTATCCTGTGGAAAGTGTCCATGGCCTACATTTCAGCTGTTACGTCTGTACAGCAGTGCCAGGCCCCTCAGGTCTTGTTAGTGGAGCCTGCTGGCTATTCCTAGGTCTAACCTAAAAACTGAAAGGTGAATGTGATTTCATTTTTGCATCAACCTATTAACCGGGCAAAGAAATCAGATTATCCTCTTCTAAGACTCACATAACTTTTATCATTGTCCTTGTTTTGACTGTTCTCTATATGACCTGTTTTTCTATTTTAAGCCTGATACAATAACATATTAAGCAATAACATCGTTTATTTACATGGAACAAGTATTTCATACAACTTGATAAATCTATTTAATACAAAATCTCTGAAAAGTAATTTCTTTAAACACTTATTTTCCAGAAAGATTTTATATTAAATAGATTTAAGCACTTTTCATGTTTGTGTCTGTGTTAATCCTTTCTTCCATTTCTAAAAGGTAACTTACATTTTTAGCTTTTACAGTGTCTTTTTTTAGACAGATGTACAGCCCTGAGACCTAGAGGAAAGACTGAGATAAAAAGTCAGATGCAGCTCAACGGTTCCACTGCTCAGCGGAGCAAAGCACTGTGGTTTTTCTCTTTCCTCCATTTGTGTCTAATCAGTGCCGGGGCACGCCTGACCGCCTCCACACAGACCACTTTTGTGCATAACCCCGATGAGAAGAATACCCTTTGGTGAGAGTGTTTCCTAAAGGGCATTTCGCAATAGTCAGTTGCCAAACGAAACTTTGATAGCCATAATCATAAGTTTGGCAGGTTCGGATGAAAATAAATAAGTAGTCTTTGTAAATAAAACACAGATGAAAACAAAAGGGAACTAAAGAGAGGGGATGTTTCAGGGCTTGGGGCATTCCACTGAGGATTAGAGGGGTGGTGCATAACAGCAGTGGGTGATGGGAGGGAGGCTGACCAAAGTAGGTTTGGTGATGTCGACTCAGAAGAGAGTCCCAAACTCAATGAAGTTCAGTGTGGCTTTTGTGCAGAATCAGGGTCAAAACCAGAGAGTGAGTGGGAGTTAGAAAGTCTTTTCAATAGCGCCATGCTAAGACCTGCCAGACAGGACATTTATTTTTAATTTTTTTAAATAGTCAAAAAGGTTTCATAGAGTGGATTCACTACTGCAGAGAGACATTTGGTGCTCAGTGTTTCCCTGCCATATTTTCATGTTATTCGCAATACACTACATTTGTGTGCGGTTATAGTCTGTATCACATCCTGGAATAATTCTAGAGGAAACATTTGCATGCTTAGCATACGAACGCCATCTGAACATTCATGCAAATGTCTTATGAATACCTTCCTGGTGTTTATCAGGTGTCGGGGGTATTTGCAAAGAGAAACCCAAGTTACAGTCCTAGCTGCCAGCTAAACTATGACATAACAAACATGACATGATGAGCTTATCATAAATTCTCAATGGGCATTTTTTTATGGATCTGTATTACTTTTTGCCTTGTGGTTTTTGAACCAACATATTTAAACACTTGTGTTACCACCAAGGCCCAGGTCATAATTTCCCCATTTGGACTCGGTCAGGCATAGAGCTTATTCAAACTGCTTTTATCTCCAGATAGCTGAAATACAATGACATATCAGGGAAAGGCTTAGTCAAATATCAAAAGCACATTTATATGTGGTTCGCACTGATATGGGAGGAGAAAAACACTTTCAACACTCAGCAAAGAAACAATTATAAAGTGAATATGTTTGCCCTGTTGAAGCAGAGCTGACTTTTCTACAGATCCTTGTGTGAGCTACTGAATGATAAACTCACCTAAAGGTAACGTGCTTAAAACATTCCACAAATTCTATAGATAAGTCTGTCTGCTGACTGCTCGACAACTGCAAATGAAAAAAATAAGGTTAGAAATAACAAGCGCGCCTAAACGTTTGTCTCCTTGGTCTCAGGAAAGGACAGAAATCTGAGAGGAGCCTCCTCTGAGGGCACATTTAGCTCATGGAGCTCTTGCAAACCAGATATTGGATAGCTAACACAATGAAAAACAAACAAACAAACAAACAAGCCACCTGCACAATCTGGATAGCACCTTTTGGCAGGAAATAACAGTCAAACAGACCACACCTCTGGGGAAAAAAAAAAAAATTAACTCTCAGTGTCATAGATGTGTCAACTTTAGCACTCTCTCAATCAGCAGGTGCAACTTATTTTAATTACACCAAACATGAGACGTTGTGCTCCTGTGTCACTCGAAACAAGGTCATCGGCAGCTGGTGAACTGCACGCAAAGCACAAAGTCCCTCCGACTCAGGAAAATACATTTAATTCTTAATCCTTCACAATTCCCTGCCTGGAGAGCTGCAGATACCTATGGCTAGACACGGGACAGAGCAGCAGCAATAGAGGTGCTTTGAACTGAGAAAGAAGAGATTAAAAAGCATTAGTGAGCACGCATTACGTTTTGTGTGTGTGTGTGTGTGTGTGTGTGTGTGTGTGTGTGTGTGTGTGTGTAAACCAAAGGTTCACAGTGTTAAAAACAAGCTGGTTAAAGTAGCGGAAATTAACTTATTGCCCAAATTTTTTGACCTACATCTTTTGAGCTGGCTAGTTTCATGCTGATATATACATATCAAAAACTGCTAAAGAAGATCATGTTAAAATTCTAATATTAATGTATACTCACTTAGGTACCCCTGACAGACAGGCCTATTTTTGTGGAAATAAAACTGAATACCTGATGTAAAGGGGAAGATAACATCAAACCAGTGAGGCTAATGGGTACAGAGACACACAGCAGCTATACCACAAGGGGTAATCCCCTAGCCACAGAGTGTACAAATGAAGAAGTGAGCATTCTGTCATTTGACATATGGAGTTTCAGGCCTGACATAACTCATTACAGACAGCATGTTTAACAGATTTATCAGGGCAGAGAGAAAAAAACAAGTCCTGGCCTTTCAACACTCACTGAAGATAGATGACAAACTAATCCAGGCATGGTTTTCATAATAAGTTGCACTTTCAGTATTGTCTGTTACACTAAGCATTGGAAACTGCAGAGAAACATACCAGCACTTCAGCAGGGGTTAAGTTACCACTCCATTACGTGACACTGTAACATCACCTCAGCCAGCTTTCATGTCTGTATGAAGGTTTTAAACATTCACCCAAAAACCTATCAGATAAATGACCACATTTTGACAGTTGACTTGTTTTATCGGAAATAAATCTGGATCATACACATTCTAAAACACAGACATGAGACGTAGATGGATTTTAGTTGATTTAATTACCAGTGTTTTACAGGAAGCACTCCAAGTTCCTGCTAAAAATCAATACTAAAGATTTTACACATATGGAGCCGTTTATTGTGTTACACTGAATCTTACCCAACATACGGTACAAAGAAGCTGCCTGCTCAAAAATGGCAAGACTAAAAAAAAAAAAAAATTTAAAAAAAAACCTAACAAAAAAAACCAAGCTTCTCACCTGATCGGCCCCATAGGCAGCGGCGAACTCCATGAACTCCTCAATGCGGACAAAGCCATCACCATCTTGGTCTAAAGCATCGAACACAGCTTTCAGAGGGGAGACGTCTTCCTCCCCTGCGCTCACAGCTGAGACCATCGGCAGTGAGTCATCTACCACCATGTTGGAGAGGGAGATCGTCTCCACAGCCTGCTCACTAGTCCACTCAGGCTCAGAAGAAGTTGTATTTAAATCCTGAACTGAAAAATCAAAAGAGGCCACTTCCTCACAGCCTGAACCCTGGAGCTGTGTAGTGTCGGCCGGCCTCTCCTCAGCTGCTGGACTGTTTTCATTCCGCACTCCCTCCTGGGGTTTCAAGTCCCAAGATTCGTCATCGTGGACCTCTTCAACAGTCAAGCACGGATCCAAAGCCATTGCCTCATTTCCCTGATTTTTGACTTCAGAACAGATGTTGTCTTCCATCAAATCCTTAGGCGTGTTTTCCACAGAGGAACTCTGACTGCTGAGATCACCCTGGATGAGGGCATCTTCAACCAGAGGCAGTGTCAGTGATGAAGGTTCGTTTAATAAACCCAGAGCAAGCAGGTCGTTCTCACCTTGTTGCTCTAAAGTAAGATTCCTAATAACAGCAGCTTCTTCATGTACCACTTCTGACTCCTCTGATGATACATCTAATGGAGTTCCTGTGTAGATAACAGAGGCAGTACTGGCAGGCCACAGGCTTAGGCTGCTGTCAAAATCTGGAACGTCTAAATCCAACAAAGGCACAGATCCTTCAAAACACTCCAGCGGTGTGCTGTGTGTGTTATGAAGGAGGCAGTTCTCAGGTAAACCTTGTAGGGTAGCGCTACTGGTTACAGGCAGATCGGTCACTTGATCAGGGAATAAACCTTTGTCTCCAATTTCAGGTGACAAAGCCTCCCTGCTCTGTAAGGGAGGGAGGTCGACCTGCTCCTTACATGGCACCTTTACCAGCTCCTCACTGACACCCTGTGGGTTTAACTCGCCTGAAGACTCTGAGTTGGGAGCAGGATGTTCATTGGAGAGATCTACTAGCAAAAATGGATCCCCTGTATCGGTCTTCACTGGAGATGATGGCACGCTGAGGGTTATTAGCGCAACCTGATTACTGAGGACTTCTAAGTCCTCCAGAGGGGAATCCCGTTTAAGAGTCAGCTCCTTTTGAGCAGAGTTTTTTCCAATCACATCAGTGAAGTTGGGAGAAAATAGCCAGGACAATGTGCAGTCACTAATTTCATCAAGTCCCTCTGTTTTTTCTGTGCAAGACAAATCCTTAATGCGAGTACTGTGGAGAAAAGTTTGGGAGATAGTGGTGTGATCTCCCTCAAACTGCAAATCTCCAAAAGAAAGATTTGAGACATTCAGGTGGTTGTCCACTAAATCCTTTTCCTTCTGAGTCTGTTGGGATATGTTGTTCTGGTCGCCATTCCTGAAGTCCAAACCTGTCTGTTCACTCTTGTTTTGACAGGGCACACCTGCATTGTCTGAATCCAGTGTCTCAAATCCAAGAGGAAATGGCTGCTCTGGCTCCCACTGCGTGTGCCCCAAAGGGCCAGACACAACTGTCGGCTCCATTTATGCTGGCTGTTCACCTTTGGAAACCTATGAAAGCTGCTGATTTGTATCTATTTATTTATTTTTATTTCACTACTGTCAAGATCCAATCCTTCAATTTTAATGCCATGCTTCTATATGGCACAGCACATCTCTAGTGAAATTGTGAGTCAAGTGTGGAGAGCCCCCACAAGCGCTCCCCACCTCTATCATTTAAAAGATGCTATCAGATATTGTGATTTTACGAAGTACAAACTACAATAGTTTTAAGAAGATATGCAGGTTTAGAAAAAACGCCTAAGACTCTATTTCTGACTTTTAATTCAGTGGTTGCCCCCCACATCTCGAGAACAGCATTACCTAAATCTAGAAATCATACTGATTTCCTGGCCACACTGAATATGGTGCTGATGGAAATGCGTCTGGACTCACTATATCCCTTTCTGCCATGACAGGTCCGCTCCTGGTAGTTGTCAGATGTTCCAGCTTCAGCATGCTTCACTTGCGGCCTGAAAGTTGCTCAATAACGTCTCGAAACTGAACCGACAAGCACACGACTTTACAGCATCTCTGACAGCGAGATGATATGAAACACTAGAGTTACGAATTAACGCGTTAGGTCAAGAGTGTTTGTCAACATTAGCCTTATTAGCCGATTATCTAATCTTATCAATCGCCTCGGAGGGAAGCGACGTAAGCAGCGTTACTCGAAGCTGAATTAACACCAAGCTGTAAAACGTTAACGCCAAATCTGTTGTTGCAAAGCGGCTTCCCACATGTGTCACCGACCGTCTTTCCTTCGAATGAATTTAAGCCAGCAACTACCGTTAACTCCTCCTTCGAGCATCCCACTTCTCCCGTGCCATTGGTCGGGGAAGCTGCTAACAGGCTTGCTAACGAAATTAGCCTATTAGCTGGCTAACACACCAAAAAAACCCTCAAGCTTAACTCTCGTCCTCTCTTGATAAAACAATACCAAAATGCTAGCTTCGGGGTTCAAAGGGTAATTACGTGAAGTATCGTCCTCTTCGCAGTAAAATATCACTGCCTAATTTTGATGCCGTTTTCCAGCGGCGGTCCACCTGTGTCCCTCAGAAGCCAGGCCAGACGAGTGACGAGACGAAACCGTTTTCTTTCCCTCATCAAATCCCTCCGCTGTCCTCAAAAGCACACCTGCGCTAGCGTCCCCCGCTGATGACCACAGTGAAACCAACAGGGTGTCAAATGAGGCCAAGAAACTCCATCGTTTTGGCAGTCAGACCATCGATGTTGATTACAGACGCCGAAAGCTCTCGCATCAGCATCAGCAGTGTCCCATCCTCCTCCTCCAGCCGCATACACACCACTGACGTTTCACGCACGCGTACTAAACACCCCGCAGTATCACTGGCATCATGAGCAGCCACCAACTGGGATTTATTTATCTGTCTTCTCGTTGCTTGGAAAGCCCACAGACAATTTTCAAAACACTGGTCCGCACTCATGTTTATTTACACAGAGGTCAAAGTTAAGGTTCAGCAGAGGAGCTTCCACATTATACAGAGATCAGTGCCGTGATCAGCGAGAGTCAGCAGGCTGCACGGTTGTCTGGGTAAAACAAATATTCCTCATATAACATATTAACCCATATAATTATGTTAATAAATTACAAACGATTGTGGAGAATTGTTTATTGGATGTAAAGTAATGTTTTGGCGCCCCCATCTGACTCTCAGCGGTACTGTGAATCCCTGTCAAACTGGTTGTTAAATTTGTGTATGAAATATACATTCACGCACACACACTAATAACGTCCCAGAGCTGGTATGGTGCATTTGTCAGGCCTTGATGAAGACTTTAAGTCACTACACATTGGTCAGTTTTACTTGCAGAATTGCTCCAGCAATAACATCAATAATAATAATAATAAATTTAAAAAAATCTTACTAAACAGAATGCTTCAGAAACTTTCCCCACCTACTGACCTTGTGTTCACTCTTGCGTTGGGCATTATTTCATTAAATGCACACTTACAGCAGTGGAATGGAGAGAAACAAAGTTGGTTATTTGTAATAAAGTATTTTTTTAATTTCTAAGTCTGTAAACTACTATAGTATAGCAAATATAGTACATTAGTGTTCAACTCCATGAGTCTCAATACTGACTTAAGGCACCAGTAGATTACATGAACTACAAATACTGTACACGTGGCATTTCAGTACTACAGATGGCTGCAATATTTCTTTGTTTCAGCAATTACTTGTCTCTTTTGTGTTCAGCTGACCAATAACCTGAAAGACAATAACATACACAACAATTATTACAGGTTTCACTGCATTCCTGCAACATAAAACAGCACAATCACATTCCTAGTTGTACTCTCTCTTCACCTCCTCCCACACACCTGGGGAGGGAGGCGTCAGGAGGAGGAAAGGAGAGCCCCCGTTCAGAGTCTAGCAGATTTAGAGGAAGCTATACCCAACAGCATGGAGACATCGTTGGCTGAGGTCAGCCAGGCCCCACCATCCGCCACCAGGATGGCTCCAGTCGTGTAAGACGACGCCCGGCTGGCCAGGAAGAGAGCGCAGTGGGCCATTTCTGTCTTGTTGCCAGCTCGCTGCAAAGGAATGGACTGGAACGCACCAGCAGCTTCCACTCTAAGACCACCTGAAAGTTTTAAGAAGAAACGAGCATCCTCAGATGATGTAAGCTACACTTATACACCATGATTACAGTATTTTTGACCCAACAGCCCTTAGGTGACTTCAAGAGCTCATGCTTTTAAATAATTTTGTAAAGATTGATTTTATCATCATCATCATCATGAGGTAGTGATTTCTTTAAAGAATTCTAAAATAAAATGTGTTATAAAAATGTGCCTGAACATGCTTTACCTAATTGGCAATTTCTGACACTTCCTAGAATTCCTTTAACTGGATACAGCAAACATAGCATCACACCGTAGTCAAAGGAGCTTGCAAAGAAAAGCGTCTGGACTTCTTTAAGTTGCTTGAAGACGTTTCACCTCTCATCCGAGAAGCTTCTTCAGTTCTA